CGCCAGAGCTTGCAAGTTTACGTATGTACGTAGACGTAAACGTGACGGATATTTGAATGCGCATGCGTAGATGTCAATTTTTACGTATACGCTTACGTTCCTAGCATCACTTCAACTCTCTATTATACAATGACAGTTCGTACTGGAAACGTAACGTAACTTGGGATAGGCGTAGTCATTTAGGGTCAGTTGCTAAAAATGTAATCTGAACGTATGTCAAACATAAAAATGTCAGATGGCAAACGTTAAAATGTCATATATAAAAAGTTAAAATTTGACTATATTTGTCGGTACGTTAATTTAAGAATGATCAGCAAGACTGCATGTGCTGAGAAGTGTGGGACTCACGCATTGCATATCCGCTAATATTCCACCTGTTGCCAGGAGGATCCACCCTGGACCCGCAAGCGTATTACTTTTAGGTAGACAATTGGACTTTTAATGTTTAGTTTCTGGGTGCTTTCATTTCTACATATTTTCCGGTTCTTTTTCTTTATTTTCTTTCATGTTCATGACTGAGTTCCATTTTTCTCTTCCAGTAATATCACATCATCAACATTGTTCTTCTCTTCTCTCATCACTTCTGTATCTGTAACCTGTGGAGAATGGGTTACCCCCACGGCACTTAGGCCTCATTAGGCCCATTGTGTATCCTCCTGAGATGATAGACACCTCCTAGCTCGTAAGCCATCCTACAGATTTATTGTAGTTGACAACGTCGCCAAGAGGTGCTTCTCTTATATCGGCCAGTGTTAGCTGATACTCGCCGAACACAAATCTTTTAATAAATAAGGGAGTCGAGTAATTGTAAAGGATATGCTTTATGGTCTCATCTTCTTATTCGCACCCTCTGCAGAGTGCGGATTCTGACAGCCCCATAATATGAAGCTTTCGTACTTGGCAATGACCAGTCAGAATGCCTGTGACTAGGCGCAGATTCTGTCTAGTCATAGTCAAGTATTTGTTTGCTGCAGTGTTGTCAGGATAACTTAAGAGCTCCCTGGCAACTCTGTAGTTTCTTGTTTCATCCCATTTTTCCTTGAATTTCACAAGGGAATGTTCTTTGATTAGTTCTGTTACTACCGATTTTGTCAGGCCAATAGAAGGGCCAGGTCCAAAAAGTATTTGGTTGGCTGCTTCCTTGGATAGTGAATTAGCAAGACTGTTACCTTTCGATGTGGCGCGACCTTTGATCCATCTTGAGGTGACCACATTGTTGATGGATACTTCGGCCAAAGCTTCGTGACATTCTAGTATTAACCCTGAGTAAATTCGTGGTTTGTTCAGGGTGAGTAGATGAGCATGTTCCTTTCAGTAATATTGTTTCTGGTTATTTCTTTTATTGCTAGGAGAATCCTCGTTAGCTCTGTTTGAACTACACTGGCACTATTGCTCACAGCCCATCTTATGTTTAGGTTTAAAAATCTGGAGTATATTCCACATCCTGAGCCTTGTTTTGTTTTAAAACCGTCGATGTAGATATGAAACGTACCTGCCACTTGCATTCTTTCGCAGAGTGTTTTCAAAATTCCCTGTTTGCAGAATGACTAGGTCATCTACAAATGCTATTGTGTAGTGAATGTCATTATTGAAGTAGCTGATGAGAGTGTCAAGGACCTTTGAGAGCTTTGAGAGCATGTTATGTATCCACCCACTAATCATTTGTGGAACATTCCTGTTGGTTAGTGAGTGTATTATCTTTGGGAAGGTGGTTGTATTAAAAGCACCTTCTATGTCTATGAAAACACCCAAGGCGGACTCCTTATGGTCCAGGGATCTTTCTATCCAGCCAGCAACTAGATGAAGAGCTAAAACAGTAGATCTGCCTGGGGTGTATGCATGTTGGTTTGGGTGTAGTGGTGCTGTTGTAATCACCGCATCCCTTACGTACTTTTCGCATAACTTTTCCAATGTCTTCATGGAAAACGATGTCAAACTAATTGGTCGGTATGTTTTTGGGACAGTGTAATCCATCCTTCCAGGTTTGGGTATAAATACCACCTTTCTCCATTTTTTGGGATATACCTCAGAGCCAATGTGGATCTGAATATACCCACCAGGTGCGGTCTGAGTTCTTTCAGACCCCACTGAAGTATTGCTGAATAGCTACCGTCAGGTCCTGGCGTTTTAAATGGAGAGAAGCTGGATATTGCCTATTCTAATTTCTCTTACCACTTTCCAGTGTATGCATTTCAAAGAGAGTTTTCCGCCACATCTGCATTGTTACCTATTATAATAATATGTAGGTAGAAACCATTTTATGGCTTTAACATTTCATTCATTATAGTTGTCCCTACTTATCACTCCATTACTATATGACTGTTTTCCTTGTCACCGTCTGGTTTTCTTAGCAGTTCTTGAATATATGCGACCTTTCCTCCCTTTTAACATACCGCTGGTAGCCATTGCTAGTATGGCTGTCATGGGGCATTGTCCTCTCGAAAGATGTAATTCTAATAGCTTCCTATCTATTTGTTCTTTCCCCGATTGGCACATCGTATAGAAGTAAGAAGAAAACCACATTTTCCAGGATTTTTGTTTTGGATGCCGTTAGTCCAGATAGATTCGGGGTTATTTTGGACATTGTCTCTAGAATTTTCGTCGCTATTAAACATGCTTGTTGAACATGACATTCTAGTGTTTTTGTCGATTCTTACTTCCATATATTTTGGCTGCTTAGAGTTAGGTTGGAATTCAGTTGCCTTCCACCAGCTAGAATTACTACCTATGTTTTTGGGGCCGTTTTAATTCCAATTCATTAAATAGTTTCCAATAGCTATTACTGATACAGTTAGAATATCTACATACGCCACCAGTGTAACTCCCTTTCCGACGTCTAATTCTAGCACCTCGTAATAATAGTATATTTTGTGACAAAATTGGAATCAAAATTTGATACAAGTTGAAGATTTTCAACGCGAGCGTGACGAATCACGAGAATCGGATTTTTATTCCAACAGAGTAACATACTGTACTTTCTCCACGGCCACAAATACAGTAGAAGTTTAATATAGTAAAAAGAAAATTTGAACAAAATAAAATATTTAGTTTTTACCTAAATCATTTGCATAATTTGTCAGTTCAAGAGGAGTATTATAAAATTCCATATCAGAATCATTATATTCACCTATTTTTGAATTTAATTTTAACTCAACAAACGCCGCGTATCTTTATTCAGCCAAATTCAAACTAAATACGTCGCGTAGAACTGTCAATTACGAAATGCATGGCTATCTACGAAGAAGGTGTGATATTTACAGCTATTGGCCAGTACCTATTACATAATGAGCATTTCGTCACTAGGGTTAGAATGGAATACGTGTAAAATACATAAGAGGCACGTGTTTCAGAATTTTCTTTCAATTTCACAACGTTGACTTCATAATCGAGCACTGGAGGGACTTCCAGACGAAACCATGTAGTTTTTCTTTCTTCCAATCTCAAGTGTTTTATCAGTCAGATATCAGATACTATTGCATGATTCTAAGGAGATATTTACTTACCTTGACTTTATTTAGTGGCTTAACTATTCTATCCCATGGGAAATAATTAAAATATCTAAGTGCCGTATACAATACGCGAATGAGTTAGCAAAGTATCAGCACTTAGTCAAAGTAAATTTTAAAATAGTAATTAGGAATGAAGGAAATGAAATCACATTCAAAAAGAAAAAGATAGTTTTTAGATTCCTTTAACGAACAAAAATTTAAATAACTACCTAATAATGAAAGTAAAAACCATGCTATAATTATACCAGTTTACTTAGGCCTGCTTATGTCCATATACACTTATTTTGCATTTGAAAGAGATCTTGAATATGAAGAGCGGAAGTTGGTCATTGTTTCATTATTTAATTAGTTGGGATTTTTCTTATTTAACAGTTAAATATATGCTTATTATGTGACAAAGTAAAAATGTACAAGTACTGTAATAAAAGCTATTTTACTCAGATCATTTGTTTATTAAAAAAAAAAAAAAAATGTAAAATAAATCAGTAAAATTATATTTTGACGTACAAGTAATAAAAAATTAGATGCCATTACCTATTGTTATTGTAAAGATATAAAATACATGGATAGCATAATTCACTAATCCAATAATAATCATTACAACATTATTGTATTGGTTAAATTATTTATGTATTTGAGATCGTACATATTTGAACCAATTTTCATTGATTTTATACCACTATTATTAGAATCATTAGTAATATTGCCATTTACGATAGCTGTATAATGCATGTTGCATGCTTAATGTAGTGTGTTTGACAGTAATGTGTAGGGGAAAGTATACAGAGTTATCCATCGAAGGTTCATGTGTAACCAGATTTAATCCATTCTCGATCAATTGGAACATGAATCGATTAAAAGTTTAGGGTGAAAGTAAAGCTAATTTAAAATAATAATTAATATTAATGAACATTTCAAAAAAATACGTTAGTTTACTTAAATTATATTTTCAGCAATCGCGATTATTTTCCTTTTAGTTCACATCCTTTCAGTGAACCACAAAGGACATGCACGATTTACAATAATTATACTCTATTACGACTCATAAATCATAAAAATGAAAATTTATGAGTGTAAATTCTTGTTTTACGTTTTAATTTGTTTATCAAATGTTGCCAATTATAAATAAAATTCGTAAAATAATAAATTACATGGATTTATTGCATAAATTATATAAAAAAAATAATCCCTACTATCTATAAAAATTATCAAAATTTTTCCAATTGCAATTTCAATATTGGAAAAAATACTTACTCATTTACATTGTTTTAAACTATCTGTCATCAATTTGTGATATATTTTAGATTTCCAATCTAGCTCTACGTTTACTCTAAACTTTTAGAAAACCAATAATGATCAAACAATCAACAATCTAGAACCTTCATGTATGTTTAAATAGGCAAAAACTAAAATGTGTGTTGAATTAACTGATTTCTTTCACTTCAAATATTGAAAAAATATTAACACCTGTTTTTTTCTTTGTATCTCTAGAAGGTAGAGAGTGCGTGAATTGCGGAGCGACAAGCACGCCACTGTGGAGAAGGGACGGCACGGGGCATTACCTCTGTAACGCCTGTGGACTGTATTACAAGATGAACGGACAAAATAGGCCGCTCATTAAACCTAAAAGAAGACTGGTAAGTATTTTTTATATCTATGAAACTTATTTTGATGGGGTACCGCAATGTAACTTATAAGGGCTACTTAATATTTGAGATATTATACAGTGAGCAAGTAAAAGTAGGAACACATTTAATAAAACGTTATTGGTCAGGAAAGTGCTTTCTTTTCAAGTTAATGAGTATAATTTTTACCTAAGTATAGCTTTATCGTGGAAATTTTAAGATTTCTATTCTTTCCAAAGAGCAGAACCTCGGAAATTTCCAAAAAAAAGTATTTTAGGTCTAATTTAAAACGTTATCAGCTCATAAAGACAGTCTTATTATAAGTAGCTTCCAAAGACATATAAAACAAAATTGCATAACTGGGTTGAACCCAATCATCCGCGATAATGAAAGCTTACCATACGGCCACCATTATACGACCTACTTACGGTGATTTCGAGCACGATTTTCTGCAGATAATTTTTCACGCGACTTAACCGATGAGCAGAAAATAGATAATAATTTAACTTTAAACTGTAACAGCAGGTAATAACACCCATTGAAAGGGTGTCGATCGCCGGTGCTAAAAAACCTACTTAAAGCTAAATTATTCTCCGGCGGACAGATTTACGCGATTTTGAGGTCGCCTCAGGGTCCGCATACGGGCCCCGTACGCTGCGCGAAAATCATCAATAATCGTATGAAAGGTGCTACTTAAGATTTTAATATTTAACCTGATAATGAGACGGTAGAGAGTTATTTGAATAAAGTGGGACACCTGTCGCGATATATGAGCGAGCTCGAGGGTGAAAACACCCTCATTTTAATCATATATTGGGCGGTCGGTTGTCTAACTCGATGACTTATGCGATTTATCATTAAAATTGATGAAGTGAAGTTAACACAAAGGCGCATATGTCTAGGATGTTGTTTTGCTTCAATAAAATTACCAATATATAAAATTGCGTTCATCGTTTGCCGATAGAACCGGTTAATTTTTTTAATAAGAATTACTTATAAATAAAGAACAAGATAATTACATTATTGCCTAAAAAATTCAAGAATTGTGAATAAATAATCACGGTAAAACCTTTTTTCTAATTTTGACATATAAAGTGACATTTTTTGTAATGGCAGCAAGTGTCAAAATAATCAACTTTACGTGACTAGTTGCATAATATTGAACATTATGAAACTGGTTACGAAAAATTCATTATATTACCAGTTGTCAAAAGAAAACCTTTTTTGTTTTTAAAATCAATATATGCATTATTATTGAAAGTTTTTATCTAAAAAGGACAGGTTGACTCATAAAAAAAAATTTGGTTAAACTTACAACCTAGAAGTAATGTTGTTTTGGTCCTTATTTTCCATTCTAATTTAGAACAAAATAATTAAAACACAATAAACGACAAAATAACCAACATTATTGAAATTTAAATAACTTTAAAACACAATATAACACACTAAAACAAGTCCTTGAGAATAAATTAATATTATTTTCTGTCAATAAAAGAATGAAGTTAATCATATGCAACTAACAATACAAGAAAGTAGTAGTATTAATTGCCTATATGTCAGTAAGTTTTACCAAATAAATATAAATAATATACTCAAAATTAGAAAATATATTGTATGAACACGTTACGAAATACCGTTTTATGTAACTCGTTTATGTGGCGGGACCTCGCTCTGCTCGTCCCGCAAATATTCTCTCGTTACATAAAATAAGGCATTTCGAAACTAGTTCTATAACTAGAGATTATATCTACAAGAACAGCATTGATCAATTTTTTGATCTGGTGTAATAAAAAAAAAGGAAACAAAAAAATAAAAAAGTAAAAATAAATAAAACAAAAATAAAAGAAACAAAAAACAAAGATGAAAAACAAATAAAAAAATAAAAATAAAAAACAAAAATATAAAAGAAACAAAAATAAAAAGAAACAAAAATAAAATTAAAACAAAAATTAAAAAACAAAATAAAAAATAAAATACAAAAATAAAAAGAAACAAAAATAAAAAAGAAACAAATATAAAAAACAAAAATAGAAACAAGAAACTGTTAAAATAATATTTTTATTATAAATCAAGGCGGATCAGAGAGCTGAATCCTCTTAATTCTTTTGTTACTTTCTTAAATTATTACGTTTCGAGGGCTCAATATCCTTTTAATATTTCTTAAATTATTCATTGTTAAATCAAGTGACCAGTTTTCAATTGACAATAAATATTTATCGCTTAAAGATCTCAAACGTTGCAATATCAATAAAAGAACAATTAATCAAATAAATATCCTTGAAATCTCCTACTCCACAAATTGTTACTTACAGCTCTATCGGAAATTGAAACAATACATTTTTAATATCGAAACTAAATGTTATATCATGAAATGAAATCCATGGGCGTGGGCAAAATTGTTAATAATTTATTTTATAAATTAGACCACTACACATGTTTACTCAACTTCTTCCTTATCGTATTCTTATTCTTATTGATTTCCACCGGAATATAGTGACATTGGTTCTAATTGTTTAGAGATATTCGTTGATCAGTCCTTTGCCCCTTAAAGGCGTAAAATACCTTCAAAACTCGATTCAACGAAATACATTCTACCTACAATTTCAATAAAAGCATTTTGCCCCATCTGTTACACCCATGAAACCACTGAAATTATAGAAATACTAATATTCATTGTGATTAATAAATTAAGTAATCAAATGTGTTGCAGTCTAGTAGCCACACAAGCCAAGAAACAAGAGTGACAGGCTGTATCAGCGCTATTGTCAATTATTAAAGATTATTAATTGTCTTTTTTTTTAGAGATAAGAATTTGGAAAGTTGGATCGTTGGGTGTGGCGTTTTGTAATAAATAAGGTCAAAATTAGACACTTGTAAACTCGATATCTACGTAATGATGTGTATTGACAAGTGATACATCAAGTTCGAACCGAAATCCGTGCACGGGTCGAATTTCTTCGGGCATATACAGCGCGTTAGGTTAAAAACTGCCCGTGAAAATGTTACTATTTTGAACAAGTTTACCAGAAAAGTTTATATTGCAAGTTTTTTGGTCTACTTTTCCTTTACAATTCAAATATAAATGATAGTTTAATTAAAATCGACTTTTCCTGGCTGTATCTCTGATGTATAACAATCCAAATATTTAAAAACAAAGATGAATAAAAAACGAATTTCCTATAATAATCAATATTAAAACGTATTTATAATAAAAGTATAAGATGTGTATAATAATAGAATAACAGAAGTTTAAAACAAAATTATAAAAACCCATTTACATAAATAATTAATATTTTTTTAACACTGTTAACCTCGAAACGATATTTAATATAATTGGTGTAGATTTGTATCTACATTTTTGTTAAAATTACATCAAAATCAAAGTGGCATGCAGATTTCTAGATATTCAACAAACATATGTTTTTAAATAGGAATAATAAATTTTTGGAAGTCCTTATTTCCTGATTTCAAAATCAATTACAGTTAAACTGGTAAAATATAGGGCAGTGGTCGATAACCGATCGATCTCGAGCTATCGGTAGCTCGCAATGTCAATTCTAGTAGCTCACACCATATTTTAAAAATACAAAGGTAAAAAATTATAGAACCTTTCGTAAATTTCGCAAATTATCATAATAAACACAAGCTGCGGCAACACTGCAGTGAGCGATCTATCGCCGTTGATACTAGAATAGGCTAGAACCGATCACCAATCAGCACATTAGTGTTCGAGAAAGACCTGGGTTGACAAGCAGTAGTAAGAAAGTAAAGAGATACCATTTCCATTCGAAATGGGAAAAACAATACAAATTTACAGAAGTTGAAAGTAAAAATGTATGTTTCTTATCTTATAATTCTGTCTTAGTTTATAAGAAAAAAGGAAAAATTGATAGGCATCATAAAACTGTCGAATACCTATAACTTATTATAGGGTGGGAAATAATTATCCCAAAGAACCTATTGGCATTTTTTTAGGTGCATGAGTACTTCATACGCAAACTCATTTATTAAAGCCGACATGTCATCAATTACCGAGAGCTTTCTGGGGTAGAGCGTTATCAATCGAATATAGTAACACCCTGTAGACAAAACTAATTTAGTGCAATAGTTGATTTTCAAAAAACACAGATAATACAATAATGTTATAATTGCAAAACAAATATTTAAAAAAATAGCACGAGTATGCTTGCTGGGATATATTTCCCACTTTGGGAGCTGATCAACGCTAGCGCAAGCAAAAGGTTAAACTGTTAGCTGTGAAACAGATATACAATGGATGACATGTAGTGCACTGCGTACCTGGGAAACATGGTACCAAAACAGCATTAAGCTATTCGCTCCGTGCGCGACAGCAACGCCAATTCGTTTTGGCATTAATGGACTATTTCTGCGTATACTGACAAATGCAATTTTTAATAGAATTCGTAATTAAAAAGTATATATGTTAGTTTTAATAAAAGTATATGGATTTGTAAAACAAGTAAAACATTAATTTATTATTATTATTATATATTTTTATCTCTTAAATTAAAGAAAATTATGTATAATCAATAAAAATGAATAATAAAATATAGGCAGGCAACAGTATTTACTGGAAAATGTATGAGAAGTTGCCTAAGTCTAATAAGTTGTCATTGAAGAATTATTCTGTCAAAGTAAAAAAATACCATTTAATAATAGCGTGAAGTAAAAATGTATAAAAAAGGATCGTTATTTATATTTTCATTTTTGTTGGAAAGAAAACATAGAATGAATAATTAAAACTGGTTTCCCATCAGTAAGTTACAAAATTGTATTCCAGACACATATAATAATCAAAGGCAGAAATCTTGAAATCTAGTCCTTGCTGAATGAACATTTAAGAATAAACGGATATTAAAGAACATCGTAAAATGATAATTTATTGTTTATTTAAAACCTTTCAAGTTTCTGATATCTACTATTTCCAGCATTACTGTTATTATTACAAAAATAAAGGTAATTTTTCTTCTTATTGTACACCTATCCATTTA